AAACGTCAGCCTTTTTGCTCCCATGATGCTGCTTGGCCTGCTGTGTTCATCCAGCTCTGCACCTGGTTCCCTCGGATTCTCCAGCATCTGCAGTTCCTACTATCTCTTAAGGAAAAGTCATCCTGGATTGTTGCTGTTGACTAATATCCCATGAACTCAGCTGGAAAATGCTTCCATACAAGTTGGCTGGGATGTTCATTGTGGTTGAATTGTTTGCCAACATGCAGTTGAATGGACACTTGGCCAGGTACCAAAGAACTGACAGAATTTATAGTACTCTATGGCTGTGGCTGTTTCCTTCCCAAAGGACAGAAAGCAGTAAATATTATAAATAGGTTTTCTTTTAGGTAAGATTGCAATTAGTCACTTCCACTAACAAATTTCACAGATGAATTTACTAAGAGAAAAAAGAATAAGAGCAGAAAGAATTTCTAAAATATTATTTTCAGTTTTTTTTTTAAAAAAGAACTTTCAAGTGCTCACAAAGGGTTTTTGTAATTGTTTCAAATATTAGTTACTTCAGAACATACAAACCCACTCGCATTTTACCTCAACAATTTCTCGGACTTCGCATTCTGTTTCTAATTTGTCCAGTTTAAGTTGTGCGGTTCCCACCGATTTGTCGCTCCTCAGAAATCCACTGTAAAAAAATTAAAACAATTCAGCATGTCTAATAAAAATTATCTTAACAAATGTTTACCTGCCTCCAAGTTGATGTACTAAAAATACAGAATTATATTAAGTATAAAAAGTGACTGACTAACAAATTCAAAAGATAAAATAATTATGACAGTCTAGATTTCAAAGTGTTCTTTCAGAGAGAATAATTTAACCATGAGACCCTCCTGGGTACGACAGGACACAGGCTTGCAGTTATTGACTAAAAGGTAGTCTATGTCTGATCTGAATTAGAACATTAATAGAGAGATCAGCTAAATCTTCGTATGTTAAGACAATGATACATTATATACTGATGGACACTAATCCAGGGTATTTTTCTAGCGATAGGCTATAAAATGTGTCTGTTTCCAGTCCTCACGCAACTCTCGGGTGCATTTCTCTTGAAGTTGCTGTGTGCCATGGTAGACCGAAAAACACGTGGCAAAAGGTACGTGCAGCTTCTAGAATTCTAATCTGATTGATTAGAGGAATTTTATTTAAAAACAACATTTGTGAGTTCGCAACATTACAGTTGTCAAATAGGTTCACTATTATAAAAATATGTATCACAAACAGCAAAACACATTTCTTGCGTGAAATGATTTTTTAAGCATCTGTGCACCATCATACAAAACCAGATACTCTAGAGATTGTTATGCAGAATTCATTACCATTGCTTTCCTTACCCCTTATGAAATATTTCAAATTTAATTCCTTTGGTCTGAATCACTCGTTTAAATCCTCGATGATTTCTGTTAATATTGAGCACAAAACGCTGATTATATTCTGGAAGGAAGGAAAAAGAACTAAGAAAAACACATGGCACATGGCACATATAACATTGCAGAATTTGAATCAAATATGCCAAAAGTATTAAAAAAAAGCCCTAATTGATTTTAGCTGCAAAATAGTTCAGTAGCAAATAACAGGCAGGGGATTTTATATTTATGCAGATAAATAATAAATGGCATTGCAACTTGTACATAGTATTCATACTCATTCTAAATTACCAGGTCCTTTACATCCTATTCAAGATTTATTAAAGACTTATCTTACATTAGAGAACACAAGAACAAGGACTTGATTACTTTTAGCAATTAACCTAGTCACAAAATTATCACGAAGGTAAGGAAAATAGTTGCAAATTTAGGATATAGTGGAAAGCAGAACACTTGCAAAATATAGAAGAATCACTGAGAAAACAATGTTTTGCTTTACAACCCCATTAAATAGTAAGTTGTCACAAGCTACATAGTTCTTCAGACTGAAAACATTTAATACATTTAAAGAAAGATGATCTGTACATTGTTCTCAAACACTGAGACCCTCACAGTTTCCACTACAAAGCCAATGACTCCCCGAATTACCTTGACTATACATCCACACACTACTTCCTGTAAAGACTATTCCATTCTCCCAGTTCCTCTATCTGTTCTGATGATGCCAACTTTGACAAGGAGGCAGCGAAATGTCCACCTTCTTCCTCAACTGAGGATTCCCCACCCCAGTGGTTGACAATGATGGGCCTCTGATCCATCTCCCACAACAATAGGATCCTCTTCGTCTTCACCTTCCAACCCACCAGTATCCACATCCAAAGGCTCATTAACTGCCATTCCTGACACGTCCAGCGGGACGCCACCACCAGAAACACATTCCCCTCCCCTGTGTCTTGTACAGGGACCATTTCCTCTGGGACATCTTAGTCTACTCCTCTTCCACTTAAAACATCTCCCCACACACCAATGATACCTTCCCTTGCAATAGCAGAAGGTTCGAGACCTGCCCGTTTACTTCCTCTCTCCTCACAATCCAAGGCCCCAGATACACCTTCCAGGTGAAACAGTGACTTACCTGCAGTTCACTTGATCCAGTCTACTATACTTGCTGCTCACAATTTTGTCTCCTCTACACTGCGAAGACGAAGCACAGAGTGGGTGACTACTTTGCAGAACACCTATATTCTGTCCTCAAAAATGACCCTTAAACTTCCATTTGCCTGCCATTTCAACACACCAGTGTTCCCTGGCCAACATCTGTCTTGGGCTTGCTGCTGTGCTCCAAAGCTCAACACCTTATTTTCCACTTGGGAACTCTGCAGCTTTCTGGACTCAATACTGAATTCAACAATTTTAGAGCTTCAGCGCCTCTTCCTGTGTCTTACCCCAACCCCACACACCAGGCCTTGTCATCACACTGGCTGCTACCACAAACAAACCATTGCCAGCCACTAATGGTCCTTATTAGTAGCTATTCATTCTCCCAGGCTAACATTTACCCAGTCCTTTGCATGCCCAACTGTTTCTCTCTCTGGGTTCCGTTTCCACCTTCTCCCTCTTTCCACTCCATCTTTATCACAAATACCAATCTTTTCCCAGCTACAGTCAGTTCTGAAGAGGGTCACTGGATCCAAAATATTGACTCTGCTTTCTCTCCAAAGTTGCTGCCAGACCTGCAGACTGTCCAGCACTTTGTTTTTGTGACTGTGAATGGCTACTTGCTTCTTACCTGGGCAATTAGTATTCTTAATCACAGCTGTTTTATTTCGTTGGGCTTGCTCCTGTTAAAAAAGGCTGTAGTTTACGGTCAACAGTAAAATGGATATATGTGTCATTTACATATGAAAACTAATTATAACTTTTTTCTAATTAGACAAAATGCACTTGACTAAATTAAAATTTACATTTCTAAATTACTATTGAATTCTCTGGAATTAAATGCAGCCTGTAACTTGAGATAAAAACAAATTACTAGACAACAAACAGAATATAAAGTCTAAATGTACATATTTAATACATTTTACTTACTGTACTAGGATACTGAAATTCAAACTTCACAAAAGCATCAAGGTCATGTGTTGCCACACCTATGCAAAATAAAACAAATTGTGTCCTAGTAGGATATAGCTCCTCAAAGTTACAACATAGAAATTAAATTCAATTGAACTTCAGCAATGTTAATTTTTGAAAATATTACAGAACAATATGTTAAAGTTTTATAAATAAGACAACATTCAAAGTAGAGCATGCAGGATAATATAAACAAGCCCATATCATTTTACAACGTGACTAAGTTTTTGAATCACAATTTATCTTTCTTTTACAACATATTTGAAAGTAAACCATATTATTTGACAAAACACTCAAGGCAATGTTGCAGAAAAACAAAACAACTGCACGAAATACAAAAATCTTAAAATACTTTGTGAGCATTGAAAGAAAGAGACAAGGCAGCAAAGATTTTGCTGGCATTCATCAGGACTGATGAAGAAAACAGAATTGAAAAAAGGGACTAACTCGTACGGCAATGAGAAAGGGATAGGACCATAATACACAAGAGCAGAAGTAGGATATTCAGGCTATCAAGTCTGCTCTGTCATTCAATGAGATCATGGCTGATCTGATAATTGTCAAATGCAGTTAGTTTCCTCTCTTTTTCCTTTAACCTTTGATTCTCTTCCTGATTAAAAATCTGTCTCAGACTCGAATATATTTACTGACCCAGCCCCAATAACCTCCGTGATAAAGAATTCCATAGATTCACAAGTCACAGAGAAGAAATTCCTCATCTCTGTGTTAATGTTATCACTTTATCCTGAGATTATGCCCTCTGGTCCAAGACTCTTCCACAAGGGAGAAACAATCTTTTCCTATTCATCTTGTGAAGTCCAATCTTGTCATGGATGCTGATTGATTGGGCCATTGTTGGCACAGAGATGGAGCGACAGTTAATTATCAATCTTAATTCTTAGACTAGGCAGGCAAATTCTGACTGGGGAGGATATGATCATGGAAACGCAGCAGAGACTGGCAGTTTCCATGACTCTGTATTTTAAGAAATGAAAATGGTGCAATGTTTGACCAACTTCTTTTGCCTACATAAAAAAATGGTCGTGTATTAATATATTTAGCATGCGCAAAGACATTATACTGCAAGCCCGAGTGATAATCTTAAATTGTTTTTTGGAGTAGATTATTTAATAAATTATGTCCATTTGCAGAATCACATCTAATGGTGGACATACTATTCTGAGAATATAGAATGCTCTGGTTGAGCAGGAACAGCATGATGCTTGCTGCAAATGGCCAATGAGAAGTTTGTTTGATATAGACTGCCACTCATTAGGCCATACGGCCGACATGCCTGGCATGTAATCAGCTCTGGAACTTATTACATATATCATTCATTTCACGAGAGCATCTTTTTGGCTTGCCAGCAGCATCCTGTTAAGGGAGAAAACCATTTCTAGCTTTATGTTTGCTGAAGCCCTGAAAGCATACCCGGAAGAACCGGCACATGCATACTGTGGAACACTAATGACTTAACAGATATTCATCTGCATGTAAATAGTTGGCATCATTGTGTAATCTCAAGGCAAAACCAGATGTACAATTATGTAAACTGTCAAAAGGACTGGAGTAGACATACTCAACAAACATGACATCATCAACTGTGAGCAGTGTGTGTTTTAAAGGTTCCAAGTTCATACCTGTAAGACTTGCCACTACAGGCAACTGCATAGCCACACTCAAGAGCAGGTTACAAAGATACTTATTGGACCTAGGCACTGTCTGGTGACATACGTGATAGGAATTGTTCTGACGGCTGACTGCATCCACAATGTATGGAGTACCCAAGATACAAAAACAATGTCCCTTTGCACCCTACTTATTTTTGACTAGCTCTGTACACAACATAAATTAGCTAAATGGTTGTGTGAGCTGTTGCAGCACATTTTAAAAGGAGTTTTCCACCTACACTTTGAAGGATTTCTTCACTTTTGCAAAAAGCATACATATTGAAAGCAACATGCCCATGTGCTCTTTCAACACTGCCAGTTTATTTACCAACACTCAAAGAAACCAGTGACATTTACACTACATCAGTGCATTAAGGCAACCTAGATGTGCTATTGATGTTTCAATCGGTCATTGTCAAACTCACAACTTTAGCAACTTGAGCAGCTGAGCTCAGTTTCAATGACACCACATACACCCAAACTGACAGCATTGCCACGGGATCCCCTCTTTGGTACAGCTCCTGCTAACATTTTTGTTAGGTACCATCAGAACCACATCTTTGATGGAACAACTGACCACCTCTTACATTCTTCTGACACTTGTGATATCTGAGCCCACAACTGCATTAAAGCATTTCTTTATAGAGATGACTGAATTCGCTGAAATGGAGCAATCAAATGGGCTCCCTTTCCTCTTATAAGGTCAATGCCAACTGCCTTCACAGATCTGATAAATTTCTGTCAGTGGCACTGGAGGAGATGGGGCAATTTTGAGTAAGGAGAAGAGGTTGCAGCTGGGCTATGATCTCACTGAATGGAGCAGCAGAATCAAACGGCTAAATGGCCTACTCCCATTCTTATATTCATAGCTGCCTCCTTAACTATATGCAAATATTTTTCTACTATTGTCCGCAGTATATTACTTTAAAGACCTCTTAAGAATAAAATAGGTAAGTGACATAGTCACAGTTTGGGGGAATATAAATCTTAATTTGAAGGGAAATTCATCTCTCAACTGGAAGGAGGATTGCAATTACAGACCATCCAAAGACACAGCACATCAATAGAAGGGTCAAAATATTAAAATAACTGTAATAATGGTCTGCAGCTGCATGCCATCTTTTGAAGTTGTTGATTAACAGTGGAGTACAATTCTTTAGCTGCCAATTATTCCAACACACACTACTCAAATGTTCATCCTTCACGAGGTGAGAAAGACAAGGGTGTTTCAGGATCAAGAATGTCATGATGATTAGTGCACATCAAACCAAATGATAATAGAGCTTCATTCTTAAATTCAGTAGGACAATTCTTATTACAAGGTAAAATATCACTTGCACAGCTTTCCTAGTAAATTCTGAGAGGGGGAATGTTATATTCTGACCAATTACTGATTATTCATATCAACCACATTAATTTCAATTATGCATTTCTAAGTAGCAAGATGATAAATTTCCATCTTAAGTATGCTAGAAAAGATACAATTATGTCAGCTGCCTCATTTATATGTTTTTGTACTGGAGACTGTAAGCTTAAAATATAGTAATTATCAGCTACTTCTGCATTGATACTATGCTGGACTGAGCTCTATTTGCTCTTACCTGAAGGTGCAGGGAGATTTATTCCTTTTACAATGATGAGTAGCATTTCAGTACTGCTGATGTCAGAAAAGATGCTACAAAATAGAGCACAACATTTTTGTTTGTTTAGCAACGGGGCACATAGGTTACAAATCATACAATGAAAAGCTTAACAATGTGAGTCAAACAGGTAAACAGAGAAAGTGACTGAGCAATTTTTGCTTTTGAAAAACTACTCTGTTAAGCACTGATATACAAATGAAATGGACTGATCACCAATTTACATTTTCTTCTTAAAATTATCCATATTGAATGATTATGCCATCAATCCTTATTATCCTTTAACAAAGACTTAGTTTGCTAACTATGTAAACTCTCATTAAACTCAACCAAGTTTTTAAGTAATTATTCATGGGATACAGATAGCACTGGCTAAGCCAGCATTTATTGCGCATCTCTAAGTGACCACCTCGAAGTGAGCTGTCTCTTGAACTACTGTAGTCCTTGGGGTACACCCACAAAGTTATTCAAGAAGAGGTTCCAAGATTTTGACACAAAAGTGAAAGATCACTGATATAGTTCCATATCAGGGTGGTATGTAGCTTAGAGGGGAATATGCAGGTGGTGATGTTCCTATATGCCTGCTGTCATTATTCTTCAAGGTGGTAGAGGTTATGAGTTTGGACGGTGCTGTCAGAGGAGCCTTCACAGAATCCCGACAGTATGGAAGCAGGCCACGTGGCCCATTGAGTCCATACTGTCCCTCTGAACAGCATCTGGCTCAGACCCACCACCCTACCCTATCCCTGAAACCCCACATTTCCCATGGCCAACCCACTTAGCCCGCACAACCCTGGACACAATAGGCAATTCAGCATTGCCAATCCATCTAATCTGCACATTTTTGGACTGTGGGAGGAAACTGACACAGACATGGGGGGAATGTGTAAACTCCACAGAGATAGTTGCCAGAGAGTGGAATCGAATCTGGGTCTCTGGCACTGAGGCAGCAGTGCTAACCACTGAGCCACCATGCCAGAGTTACTACAATGTATCTTTGTAGGTGGTACATGCTGCCGCACTTCATCTGTGGTCAAGGGGGTGAATACTGAAGAGGGTGGATCGAGTATCAATCCAGTGGAATGCTTTGTCCTTGATTGTGTTGAACTGGAGTCTTGTTGGAATACTTTCATCCATGCAAGTGGAGATTATTCCATCACTAATACCTTGTAGATCATAGACAAATGCTGGATTCAGAAAATGCATTACTTGCCACAGAAATACCAGCCTCTGACCTGCTCTTTAAGCTACAGTATATATATGACTGATCCAGTTTATCACGGCAACCACCACGATGTTGATAGTAGGAGATTCAGTGACGGTAACTGCCCGATACTTTTATGCATGAATGTTACTTGCCACCTATCAGCCCAAGCCTACAGACTGTCCAGATCTTGTTGCATGAGAACATGAATTGATTTGATGTCTTAAGAGTTGAAAATGGTGAATACTGTGCTTTCATGTGTGGCTTGATTTCTGTTACATCTCAACAAAATACATTCAGTGGAGGAGAGAAAATTTAATGTGGAAAAGGGGAAAAAAATACCTTTTGCTTAACCTGTTCAATTTATTAAGAATCAGAATAATGCTGAAAAAAGTGCAATTTTCATCTTCCTCTTCAGTGTTCCTCCCCTCCTTGTAAAATTGACAGTACGTACCAAACTCAAATCGGGTAACTGTTTTGGTTGCTTTACACTGAATAATTTTGCATAGCTGTAAGTTTTCAAAAATGATGAAGCATTAATATGGAATAACATAACCGCTCAGATGTCAGTCAGTCAGTCAAGGAAGCATCTTATCAACTATTACTTGAGATTCGCAACATGATTCATCAATAACAATTCAACATGAAAGAATGCATTTTTTTCCTGAAATGCCCTCTATGAATGTGTTCGATGCCAAATTTATTTCCAGTCCATAGCTCCTTTGTAGCAGCAAGCTCTCTTTAAGCCGTTGCAGGCCTCACACTATGGCTATTCAACAACATTATTCAGTATGGAATGTTAGAACGTGTGTGCATTTGATATAAAATTTGGGATTGGAGAACTGGTAGAAGTTTTCAAATCAACAGTAGATTGGTAGGGCAAAACTGTTACTCTGAGAAGGATCAAAAACCAGACAGCGTAGATATAAAGGGCTTTGCAGAAGAATCAAACGTGAGGTGAGAATTCAACTTTTCAGTGACTGATCCAGGTTTGGATTGCACTGCCTGGAAGTGTGGTGGAGGCAGATTCAACTGAGGTACCCAGGCATCGGATGATTATTTGAACGGAAACAAAACACAAGGTTACAGGGGAAAATGAGGAATTTGAAGCAAAAGAAATGCTCGAAGAATCAGTGCAGACACGATGGGATGAAAGGTCTCCTTTTGGAGTGAAATAATTCTGTGACTCTGAAATCAGGATGCTGTGTCACTGAGAGCTACTTTTTGCTTTTGTCTTTCTCAGCAATGTAAGTTGTAGGGCTAGGAAATGTTTGTTTCATTGATGAGGATTAGGTTAGTAACGATCAAATGATGTGAAAGCAGACAGTAAAACTGTTTGTTTTACCCACGTCTTTTGTTCACATGGCAGATTTTACTATACAGGCAGTGCTGGGGCTAAGAACAGGTCTGTTCAGCAGTCCTTCACAAGTCAATTTGTATGCATGTCAGAACACAATGCAGGACAATACAAAGCAGCCACTTGTAAGCACAGGAAATACACTTGCGTTGGGTCTTTAAAATACCCTGTTTGAGACTGCATTCAAAAATAGGTCATTTGTAAATCAGGGATCCCCTGTAATCTAAGATCTTTAAAAGCTGCAGACAGACAAGTCCATAATGTATGCTCACTAATAACTGTAGGTCAACTTTCAAGTTTAACAGGCTGAAGATCACACAACCAGGATGATGCTTCCAGATATCTCAGAAGCATAGCCAGAATAGACCATATGTTCAAACTGGGGAAATTCTTATGAGCCATTCTCTCTACTAAAAGGTGAACGTGTTCCTTGAAACTGCAAGATTTTAAATTGCAATAATTATAAAAGCAGAGGTCCATACCGTACAGTTTTAAAGGTTCTCTCCTCAAAATGATACTTCGGTGGATCCAAGCCTTGAGCCTGCCCAAGTTTAAGGATTTGCATACTTATTTTGCAATCTGCAGCCATTTTCTCAAATCTACAAAATGAGCAAATGTATATTTTAAACACTGTAAACAACTGGAGGTAAAAGGTTTGAAAATGATCTGCATCAGAATAAAAGCATATGCTGATTCATGAATACTGTTAAACAATGTTCATATAAAATTAAATTTCAAATGCATTCTTAAACATAGCAATTCTGTTTTTCTGTCTGCATTTACACTAACCTGGTGGTCTCGGCCACGTTGCCAAGATGTACAAATTGCTTTGAATAGGACACGCATTTCTAGGTTTAAAAGAAAAACAGTTTAAACAAAGACAGCTTTCATAAAACATTTTTTGCAGCAGATTTAACCAAATCATTTTTGTTACATTCCAAAAAAGGACCAGGAGGCTGAACAATTCAACAACAGCAGCAGCTTTAAGAAAATGTTCATTCTGCAGGCAGCCGAGCTAGACTAAGCTGTCACCTGCCCAAAATGGCCATTGACATAATGAAGTCACATGATCAGCGACAGTGATAATCCACCATACTTTCTAAATAAACAACAATTTTCTCCATGTTCTATACAGAAATGAGTAATCCTACAACACGTCAGGCCAGTGGCCCCTCCTCATGTAAAACAAACAGTATACTTGCAGATTATTCAACATCAGTCCTTTGAGTACAGGAGTTGGGAAGGCATGTTGAGGTTGTACAGGTTGTTGGTGAGGCCTCTCCTGGAATACTGTGCCCAGTACTGGTCGCCCAGTTATAGAAAGGATATTCTTAAGCTGAAGAGGGCTCGAAAGAGATTTACAAGGATATTGCGGGGTATAGAAGGTTTAAGTTATAAAGAAAGGCTGGACAGGCTGGGACTTCTTTCACTGGAGCGCAGAGGTTCACAAGATGATCTTATTAAAGTTTCTAAGGTTTTAGAGTAGATTTGTAGCTCGGGTTGTCAATGTTATGGTCGGTTGGCTCGCTCGCCGAGCTGGTTCGTTGTTCCGCAGACTTTTCATTACCTTGCTGGGTAACATCATCAGTGCAGCCTCCGATCAAGCGCTATGGTGTTTTCCCACCCGTTATTTAAACTCTGGTGTCTGTTGAACTGGATTACCTCACTTCCGGTTTTCCTTCGCAATGGAGTGTATATGGGGTCTAGC